GTAGGATTTATTTCAATGCTCACATACAATTGAATGAGACAAACTATTTACATAAAACATAAGTACAAAATATATAATACAATTTATACTATACACAATCAGGATTCCCTTATTTTGTGCCCACCCCCAAGTGTTGGCGAATGGAGATGGTAAGAAGGGGGGTGCCGTGAAACGAGGACTGATGCACGCTTGGCTGCACTCAGGACCATTCTTCATGGATTGTTTTAAAAAAGGTGAATAGGGCTGAGATAAAGAAATTGGCAATGCACCAAGATCAGTGAGCACAACATTTTCACTTCTATAGTAATAGCTAATTTTATCTTATAAACATGTTTGTTTGGGAGGCTCACAGCAGGTGAGAGTTGGTTTCTGCTCATTGGTTGGGTAGCCCCTGCCCGCCCCTTCTCTGACTTCCATCATTGATCCAATGCAGCAGGTAATGAGTCCCCTGCCTGGGTGGCTACAATTGGTGTCTTAAACTGATTTCAGAAAATGTATCTGTCAGGTGTCATTAAAGCAACAATCTGAAATATAGACCTGGACAGCTCTTGCGGAGCATTTAAGACCAGCTAATTCATGAACAGAGAAGATAAAAGAAATAACTACTGGGAATTTCTATTGCACATGTCTAATAAGATGGTTTCAAAGAAAATTTGACAATAAAATGTAAGGTTTGGGAAAAAAAAAAGTGTGGTACATCCAATGACCCCATGAGAAAACACCCAGCAATCCACAAGCATCCCAACAAAGCATCCAAAGACCCATTTTCTCATTCAAATGAGGGGGAAAATATAAAGCTACCTCATTTGTTTAAAAGCTCCATGATTAATATATAATTCTTTCTAAAAATTAATTTTAAGACCTACAACTGTCTGCAAGTTTACCAAGGGCTGAAGCTGGCTTTGGAAAAGGTCCATGAAGAAAATGAAACAATCTCAAAAATGTTTATTTTGTATCACAAAACAGGCAATAGCAAATTAGTACAGAATGAGGCATTTAACATTTCATAACATCTTTAAAAGTCACATCAAGTGTCATGACACAAGTTTTGTTACGCACTCTTGAAGAATTTTACATTGGACCAAGTTTGTGCATTTTATTTGCATATAACAGAGTTTTAGTGGTCACTCTAGGTGCTTGGGTTGAAGGTTTATACTGTGCTTTCTTTCAAAGTGCAGAAGTTCCTGCTTGATTTTGGCCAACAGTCATGGTACAAGGGGAAATCAATCAAATTTAGTAGTGAAAATACTATCAACTTTCTGAACTCAAATTAAGAGTTACAAATTTTGTGAACTTGTTCAACAGTTTTGAAGTTGACAAAAAAAAAAAAAACCCAGGTATTCTAGGTGGTTCTGATTTCACATTCACCATACCTGTGCCAGTTGTCACAGACTGTATCTGATTTTCCCATATCTGTTGGCTTGCCTAAAGAGAAACAAAAACTTCTAACTTCTATCAGCATCACATAAACATTCTTATTATGGAACAAACACTAAGATGCTTTTTGGAAAATGTAAATATTAGAGTGATATTATTGTGGGAAGGCTGAGACTGGATTCACCTTTATTCTGAACACACCACTGCACCTATTCTGGTACCACATCCCCAGTGAGGGCAAAAATCACATCTGAAGATGATGTGCTTCTTGGTCATTTTATATTCCTGAGTTCAAAGAGGCATATAAGAATGATTTTCTTTAAAGTACATCCATCCAATCAATCTTCTGCTTCTAACTGGAACCAATAATATCCAGGCGAAATAACAAATTATCATCTTAAACAAGGCACTAGCAACTTTTTCTAGGAAATTAAAACTACCTGCATTTATAGAGAGGGCAACTAACCATGCTCTCTTTTTACCAATATAATAAAATGGTTTTGATTTTCCAGAATTCTTGAGAATTTTCCAGGTTCTGCACCAAGCTTGTATTTATCTAATATCTGAACCACTTTACTACTGCCATTCATCTAACATTTGGACCATTTGGCATCAAATTGCCAAAAAGCTGAGAGAGAATGGATCACATTTGAACTACTGGCCCCAGATTTCTGACTAAATAGGAAGAGGTGGAATACATTTTCTTCCCTGACCCATATTTTAGTTTAAGAAATGCCATAGAGTGATTTTCTGCTTCTACTTTGCCCCTCCCAGGTCTGGAAGCACCTGGAGAGCTATCCCCATTGTGGCAATGCAGTGAAACATGTTTGCTCGAGTGAGAATTGATACTGACTCTGATCATGGGTAATAAGATTGATTGCCTTCTATGGCAGAACTAATATGATCTCTCGGAAAGACTGTGTTTTGAGACAACTTTCACTAGAAACTGTACACTTTGTGCCTGCCTCTGAAATTGGTTTTGATGACGCTCTACTCACTTGCAGTGGGAACTATATTTCAGAGGAGAGCTGGTCATTCCTGTTGCTTCTGCAACAGCACTAAGTTTCTGATAAAGCAGCAGATGACCATCGAATAAAACTTTGATCTATCTGATAAAAAATGAATACAATGCATCTTTAATAGAAGTCCACAAAAATGGAGTATGGAAGAGTCACTTAATCCTTTGCACTCGGATGTCGAGTGTGACTCGACACGGTTAGCAAAAATTATAGAGATTAAAATTACTCTTTGAATGTATCAATAATTTGAAATATAAAAAAAATCCAAATAAATAAGTTTGTATGAAAAGAAACTCCAGTTTTTATTCTACTGCTGCACTTTATAAAATCTGGGGCATTTAAAGAATTAAATCCCGAGTAGAATAAAGGAATCGAGAAAAAAGCAAGTGAATGTAAAGGGTTAAGAAATTATCACCAATAGTCTAACATTACTTTGCATTCATTATTTTTCAACTTCCAAAAAAAAAAAAAGCAAATATTAAAGCAATATATTTTCTTTTGTTTTATCAAGTTATCAAAGTAAATAACCTGAATGCATTGGCTCAGTATTTGTGAAATTATAAAACATCTTTAAATCAATTATAATTAATGATATCAATAGGTGAGAATAGCAGAAATAAATTCCACAATGGTCCCCTCCACATATTTTATCCTACATGGCAATACACTATGCATGGCATTCCCTTCTGTGCATTTCTTAGTACAAAGTGAATATTACTCTTTGTTCTCCCATTCCACACCCATTGCCCAAAGAAGCAGGGTGCTCAGGAAGGCTTCTAGTGTCCAGTAACAGATAAGCTAGGTAATCAGACATTGGCAAGGTCATGTCAACATGAACCGCCAAGGGCACCATGAATGGAGAGTTAGGACGCACGGATAGCTGGGCATGTCCAACACCACCTGGGAACTCCGGGCTGTATCATATTGAAAGAATGGTGGAGAGTTTGCATATGAGTTAAGGTCGTTAGTCATTACCACCTTCATGGAAAATGACTATTGGAGCTGCAGGACTTGAGTACAGTCCTGTTACCACGTGGACTATGGCTGCTTTGATGCAGTTCATTTATCAACAGTTGGTACTTGTTGCCTCTGGTTAGGTGCCCGAAAGCCATCTTTAGACACAGAAATACCGAAATCGTTGCAGTTACTACAAAATACTACACACAAGACAACCCCACCAAAGTGTGCAGGACACCCTTAGGCTAAAGAAAGACAACAGCCTGGGGGCAAGGTGGATGAGGAAGGAGCTTAACAGTGTTGGGAAAATATTGCTGATTTATTCTAAAAACAAGAAAAATATTGCAAAGAAGAATAAGGATATTTGTAAATTAAGTACCATGAAGGCTGTGTCTAGACAAAGTGATCAGCTGAGTGTAGACTTTATATAGTTATATCAAGTCTAAATTTGATAAAAATCACAATTACAAACTGATATTTCCTCCTTTGATATTCAATTACACTCTAACATATCCCCTTAGATGGCATCTTGGAGATATGGAGGCCTCCTGCTGACACTTTGTCCATGACTTCGATGGCATGACCCACGAATTCTACCAGACTCCAGTGGAAACAGTGAAATAGGCTCTGACTCCCATGGTTTTCATCGTTTTGCCGATATGTAAGGAAATAAGGACACCCTTGGCTAAAACCCTGGCACTCTGGGCAGTTGGTCCTGGAAGAGTCCAGGGCTCAGACCCACAGGACTGTGCATGTTGGTCATGACCCCCCGGGACCATCCATAGACTCACTTGGGGATGACCAGGACCCCACCTTTCACATCCCTACTCATCTGTCTCACATTGTTGCTTCTTTTCTCTTTGGCATCACCCATGAACCAGTAAGGTCAGAATTGTGGTTCACCTGGACCACGTGGACTGACCCTCCCTGGCGACAGGTGTTTTTCCACGGCAGGGATGTCCTCATGCCCATTCACTGTTTGTAAAGCTGCTTCATTTCCTTCAGAACTCAAGTCACCTCTCCACACACCCAAGAACACTCTTTTTATCCCCCAGTGTCAATGCTAATTCTAGTCAGAACCTCCTTGAACAGGCTCAGTGGAGCACCCCTAACAAGAGCAGGGACATTCAGGTGCTTCACGTAAGTCACAAGGGCAGCAGCATAGAAACATGCTCCGAGTAAAATGGGGAGTTTTGAAGGAAATGCCCGTGTGTCATTTGGTAGCACAAGCCACCACGTGAGCGTCATGCAGCAAGGAGAGGGAGGGCGTGGGAAGCACCCACGCATGAGCCGTAGCTACACAGTGATGGAAAACAAAAGTTATTCCACAGCCGGGTAAAATAATTAGAATAGAGCTAAAATTATTGTAATCCAAATCAAAGATGCAATGCCATTCACAAGAGCCACAAGGAAAATAAAATACCTAGGAATATACTTGATCAAGGAGGTGAAAGGTCTCTACAAGGAGAACCTTTTATCACTGAGGGAAGAAATCACAGATGACACAAACAAATGGAAAAATATATCATGTTCATGAATCCGTAGAACCAACATTGTTAAAATGTCCATACTACCCAAAGCGATTTACAGACTCAATGCAGTCCCCATCAAAATACCAACATCACACTTCACAGATATAAACCAACAGAGAGAGAGAGAGAAGAAGAAGAAGAGGAGGAGGAGGAGGAGGAGGAGGAGGAGGAGGAGAGGAGAGAGGAGAGAATTCCTTAGAATAGTGTCAGGGAACAGAAATGAGGGGATTTCTGCAGTGCTAATCTGGAAGGTTTATATTATCAACAACGTGAAATTTCCATGGTGGGGGGAGGGTGTTTCCCACAGCCATTGCACAAAAGTGATTAAAGATCAGCTTGGATGTCACTTAGAAAGCATTTTTCATAAGTCCAGTGACACGTTCTTGAAATATTTGTATCCCTCTTTCCCAGAGGGAATAAAATCTCCTTTTAAATTTAGGAAATATTGAGGCGGGTGTGGATTAAAAAACAGCTTAAATGTGCTACACAGTGAGGATGTTTTCTCTTACAGGAAAATGATGAGTTGAAGTATCCAATGAAACTCCAACCCAGGAGCAATTAGGAGCCTGTCTGGCTACATTTCACCCAGGGAGTGTGCCTTTGAGCGTCCGCACAGACAGGTGACCTTACACCGCGCAGGAGGAAGGCATGAGATGCCATACGAAGTCCTCTCTGGAAAGCGCCTGGTGTCATTCCTGTGCAGTCTCACAGACCTTCCGGAGCTTTCCCACTATTTTAATTCCAATTTTAAGACAGTGTCATTCCTGCAAATTTGGACACATGAAAATATTTTGAAATCAAGAATATTCATTATTAAACATAGGATTTTTCCCAACACTTTCTGAAATTGTTTCTTTAAATTGGACAGGGTAAAAACACATCTGCTAATCAAATTCTGTGTTCCTATATATTTTCACACATCTGAAGGTTCATTTATCAATAAGAACTCATTTCCACGTCCACCCAGGCCTGTTTCACAATGCCCACAGGCATCAGATAAACATTTTCAATCTCGTTCTTCCTCTTAAAAATTATTCAACAAACTGCCATATGTTACATATGGGTTGTTGGTGAGAAATTTATGCTCTTTTCTTTTCTCTGGGGACTTCTGTGAATGGTGTTGTAACATTCTGAACTGCTTATCAGTGATCAATGTTGAGACAACAGGGATCAGTGAAACTTTACTTCCAGCTACCCTGAATTCTGATCTTGAAACACCTGTCCCTCCGTGCAGGGAGAAGGGGGGTGGGGTGGGCGGGCAGGCAGCACTGAGACGAAAGGGAAGGCACCAGAGCTCAGCATTGCCTGCTCCCCTGCTCTGGTCACAGCAAGTGACAGCAGGTACAGGAGTAACACTTCACATGGACCCACAAAGATGACAATGGGCTCCAGAGAGCCAGCTTCACACATCATTAATGCTCTTGGTAGGGGCTGATTGCTACACATTGGTTATAACAGGGAGACAGACAATGAAACATCAATTTTCATTGATGTCAGTTCTTTCAATACTTTCCATACCATGGAAAATAAAAAAAAAAATGTTTTCAGTTATAGCTAAGCACTTCCAATACTTTCCCTAATTGGCATCATGAATGTTCAAGATTTTTCTTTGCAGGCTAAGGGAAGGTGTAGAGTCAATCCAAAAGCTAAACAAGTGGTTATTTCACAGATTGGTTCTTCAGAACGTTATAGTGGACCAGACAGGTGGGCTTCCAGGCCAACAGCATGACAAGGAGCTCCCTGGAATGCCATGAAATCCAAAAGTCAAAATAAGGCTAGTTTTGTAGCAACCTGCAGAACACGTCCATGCTTCACTGTGATGACACAGCAACGGCATCAGGACCAAGGTGGGGCACCTCACAGTGACCGCCACCTCTGTAGGTGCAGATCAGATGGAATCCCTGGGCTTACCCAGGCAGGGGTCATTCCAAATCCAAACATAACTCGCTTCCAAGAATCCACAGTATTATCCATATTGGGTAGCAGGGGAGCTGGATGGTGAATAGTTTGGCCACGTTCGCCTTCTTAATTTTATCAAATACTGTCAACCCAAGCACTCCTTATAGGGGGATTCTCAGATAAAGTGCCTATTTTCTTGAATTAAAACGTCATGAAGATTTACACTCAAAAGCAAAAGACATTCATATTTCTAAAGATTCCTTCCAACTTGGGTGGCACATTTATGAAATAAACCTCAAGAAAACAGTGAACATGTTAGAGAAATGGTCTGAACACAATTAAAAATTTCACACCATGGCTCATTCAACAATGATCAAGTGTGGTAGAGCAGATTTTCGTGATGTCATATTTAGATTTTTGTTGCTTTTATAGATGCACATTTTTTGGCAACAATGGGACACTCGTGGCTTGAAATGTACTTGAAATGTGTCCAAACTTCATCTCTGAAGCCTCAGAAACATGGGCAGTCATGGAGCTCAGGCCTTGAGGAACTGGGGGTTTACAAGAAGCCAAAAGTACAAGAGCTATTAGTACTCATCGTAGTTATTGAGATCTGTAAAGTAGGCATTAGAATAGGTCTTCCCAGTGAGATGTGGGTTGAAGTATTTGTTTCTTTCCTCTAGGATCAAGTTGTTTTTGTTAAATGCCTGTAAAATATAAAAAAAAAACGATTTAAGAATACTCAGTAAGTAGCATTTCAGAAAGAAGATGACTAGGGAGACTGCTACGTTGGGTTTGAGCTCTCTGCTAAGGCTGCATTATTTTAAAATGTGTTTTCTCACTTTCTTGGTCCCCAAGAGAAGTTGTGTCACCGAGGACTTGCTTGATAACTAGAATGAGGCAGGCAGTTTGCGATACCTCTGGGTCTATTTTTGAACATCAATCAGGAAGTTTCCAACAGAAGAAGGGGGTTAGAAAACCTAAATCTAAACCTCTAGAAAACCTAAAACTCTCATGACTTCAAATTAGCAGATACTTTGAATGTTATCACATACAACTGAATAGATAAGTAAGCCGCTTTCAGATTGCCATAAACAGGTGCATTTATCAGAGATCTTGACAGAACTTATTTAGGTAAATGCATCAGATTTCAAATGCCTTAATTTCTTTTCATTCTGCACTTATTAGAAGGCAACTCCTGTAGTCGTTTCTGACACAGACGCCCTTCCTCATTAACAGTTTATTAAAGTCACTTGCAATTTCAAAGAGCCTGACCTACACCAGGTAGAGGGTAAATACTGACAGGACCAAAATGAAGATGAAGGAGAGGAGGCAGAGGCCAATTGTCCAGGACCCATTTGGGCAAGGGGCCATCAGAAGAAAGTTCTAGAAGGAGTCATTCAAGGACTAGGCAGCTGTCCATACCCTCAAGGTCCTTTGCCTTCATGGCAGAAACATTCGTTATTATCTTAAAGGTGGTTGCTGAATCTAAGTGGGAAAACAAGACTGGGTGAATTACCTCCTGATGTCTGGAGTAACACACAGACAAGCTGATGTGTTGGAATCACGCTCAGGGGGCCCGTTCTTGGGCTCTGGAGGTTTGCTTGGCAGGTTCTCACTCACAGAAGGAGCTCATGCTCCTCTCTATTCTCTACTCCGAGAGGCTGTGAGGGGCCTGGCACTAATTCCTGGTGCTCTGCCTCGTTCCCCGGACCTGTCGTCCAAGTGGTGGGAGGTGCTGGTGGCTAATGGATCCTGGTTTTATCGGGTTCAGGGGAAAAGTCAGCTGTCCAGGTGGTAGAGAGCAGAGGCCATGTGGCCGAGAGAAGTGAAGTGAGGACACGGTGGCCCCTGGGACATAAGATCTTCCAGCCACCTGGAGCCGTAAGGGCTGAAGATATCCCATATTCTCACATAGGAAGAAAATTTGATTTCAAAGGGAACGATCATAGCTGAGAGAGGGCATCAAAATGCTCCCTGTAAATGTTACGGGGCACCACACTCCTAAGAAGAATAGAAAATTCTAGTTCCACTTAGATCAGGAGAATTCCCTTCATTCACGTGAGTAATGAGAGAGGTCGGGTGCAGGAGACAGGAGCCCTTCATGTCTTCCCAGCTTCATCCCTGACCTCTTGTGTGGACACCATAAGAACAACAATTATCATTTTCCAGGTGCTGGGTCTCATGCACTTTAGGGCATTTAAATCTAACAACTACAATATGAAAATATGTATTGCTATACCCATTTTAAAGATGAAGAAACTAAGGTTCAAAGAGGTAAGTGACTTGTACTCTGAACCATGACACAAAATGTCTTAAATAAAACAAAACAAAACAAAACAAAACAAAAAACGACATTTATTTCGCCAGGCACTGTTTGATGTATTTTATACACATTGCCTCATGTGATTCTCATTATCTCCAATTTATAAAAAAGGAGAAAACGGAGGCTCGGTGAGTGTGAGTAACTGGTGGGAGTTTTCCCGGCTGGGAAGTATTGGGGTTGACTCATGAGCCAGGTCTGTCAGGTCCAAAGCTGGGACCCTCTGCACACCTTCTCCCTTTGAATGTGAAGGAAACTGGCCATTTACTGTCAATTTCTGGGTCAAACACTGGATTCATCACTCACTGGGGAAATTTACAAAATGCATCACCCCACACCAGTTACAGCACTTTTACATCATGCAAAGTTGAAGAGCCTTCATTCTGCCTGAAGATTATTTACAGATAGTTTTTACAGTAATGCAAACATTTTCTCAGGCTGCCATCCTAGTGGTGATTCCTGCAATGGACCTGGACGTCTGATTGCCATCCAGTCCTCATTACTGCTGTCCGGTCATGCACAGGTCCTCGGCAGGAGCTCTCCTCTAATGCAGAGCTCTCTTCAGATGCAGAAGGCACAGAGGAAGCAGAGATGGACGTTGGCCAATGACCCAATATTTTCCAGCATTTGTTGCTGCTTTCATGCCCCCTTTTCACCTACTTTTGGATATGAGATATCCTCTTTTCACAGGCAAAACTAAAAAGGTGGTCCATCCTAAGAGGACCCCATTCCTGTCCCCAACCTGTCACCAGCGCCACCACCACTGAGCCTTGCCAACAGCCACAGCGTGCACCTGCCTTCTTGGGACACCCGGATGCAGCCGCTGCTGCCGATCCTTACCTTGATGGCCTCCACCGAGTCGTACTTGTCCAGTTTGTTGATGTGGTTCGTGATGCTGGTGTTGAGAGGGGCGGGAGAGACAGGGTGGATGACGGTCGCATCGTGGGACTGCTGCTGGTACCGCTGGCAGTAGGTGTAGACCAGCAGGGTGAGGAGGCAGCCGAGGATGGAGCTGCTCAGCCCCACCGCGATCATGTGGAACATGTTGAACTCTGGGAGGGACAGGACCACAGTGATGTCACACTTGACCAGAACATGCTACCTAACTGCTCAGAGTGCTTCGAGAAAAGAGAGAGACAGAACGGAAAGCCCTATGGCTGTTGCAAAATTAAAGAAATCATAATTTTAAGTTTTTCCCTCAAAATGTCATGGCCACCAAGAAACCTCTCCGCAGTGAGCATGGTATATTTTTAGTTTATGCCCTCGTGGATTTTTGTCAGTCTTCTGGATATAAATTAAACCTTAATACACTAATAAACTAGCAGATTTTTTTTCGTATTTGAAGGCTTGCTCTTCTGTTTCACGTGCATCATAATCTTCTTCCCCCCTCCTTTTTTATTTCATTATATTTAAAAGTATTTTCTATTTACATAAATGCTTGCATTTTCCATTATATTTTTGGATATGATATATAGACATAGTATAACATTAGAAAGTGCAAAAGGGACTACAGGGAAAATAAATCTTTCTTCTTTCCTACATAAACATTTTCTCCTGTGCCCTTCCAGAGATAACTCTGCTCACGTAGGTGCGACTGTGTGTGTGTGTGTGTGTGTGTGTGTGTGTGTATGAATAGTATCCTGTGTAGCACTTTTTTCACTTACATCGTATTTTGGAGATCTTATCAAGAAAATTGTTTACCCCAAAGAAAGAAAGGATCTGTGTTAAAGAAATAAAATATGATCTTTCAAACAGTCAATGAAATGACCCTCTATTCGCCTACTGTTTTTCTGTTTAACAGCATCTCTTCTGTTTCTTTAGTTATTTTCTTTAACTTACAAATGCAAAACATTCAAAAAATGAGCCTACATGGACTTACGCCGGCTCAAGCGACATCAAGGCAGCATACCTAACCCTAACCCACATGATGTTCGAGAAACAGCAGTGGAAGAAAAACAAAAAACATACTCAGTGTTGGTAAAACACTGCCTTTGAAGTTTCAAGCCTTCCTAGGAGGAAAGGCAATGTCTGGGCAGTGCTTGTGGAGCTGGGCTGGGCTTTCCACTCTAAGCTGTGTCCTCTGCTGCTCCCAGACACCGTGTTTCAGGAGCCCAGGACTTAGAAGATGAATCTGCCTCCTGCGGTGCTCGGACACAGTGAACAAAGGCCACCTTCTCACGGGTTTGCTGTCAGCCACAACTAACAACAGGCCCTAAACACAGAAATTCCGAGTGGACAGCGCAATTCCTAGCACAGGCGTCCTGTGCATTCAGCTCTAAGGGACGGACCATCCTGGAGGACGTGAGTAGAACACCCACAGGTACAACCGTCTCCCTGACAACCTCCTCGACCTTTCGTTCTAGCTTATTCGGTCAAGAATATATGGTATTCTTATGCTATAAAGACGTGAAAGGACGTCAAAAATCTTCGGCCTTTCCTGGTCCTCCCTTGAAGCCTCTAGAACCAGAGGTTTCCCACGGGGACAGCTGGACAGAGCACCCAGGACATCCCACCAGCAGCCGTAGAATCATTTACTGCAACATTGAAACTGCATTTAATGCAAGCAAGAGCTAACGCTGCATGGGTTCTCATTTCTCTACACTTTAGCTCTCAGGACTCCCCAGGGTCAATGCCACGTGCCCATAAAAATACTTCCTGCTGCACCGATAAGTCATATTTCATTATAACATATGGGAGATGCACGATGGTCTCCACATACAGATACTTTGTCATTAGTCAAATGAATCACTCCTGCAGGAGCCTGGGGAAGGCTGGGCCAGCCGACATCTTTATGACGATTATATAGTCTTTGTGTCTCATGCAACCAAAAATAGCTCTCCAAGATGAAAAATTTCAACAGAAGCACACTTTTTCTACATGCAGAAAAAATAGTGCCTGTTAAATCTCTTTTGAATCTGCTCAGTGGGGCTCTTTCCTTTGAGTATGCTTTTTTTCCCCTTTTGCTGTTGTTTTTGGTCACTAAAGATAGAATTAAGACCAACTACCCAGACGCTTTAATTGGCTGATTTCCTGTGCAAAGTTTGACTGATTTTTCGACAAACTGAAAAAAGATGTCTATCTTGTCTCCCTAAACATCCCAAAACATCCTCGCCAGGTAATTGTTTGTTTTCACCTGTTAGCCCTGCAGTAAGACCCATCTAAACTGCCCATGCTCGAGTGTCAATGTCAGCAGCCTAACGGTCTAAAAAAATCACTTCTGAATATTGTAGAGTAGTTAAAGTTCCTGTGATTTAACCAACAGCATCTCAAGGCTTGGTTCTGGCTCGTGCAGCATTTCGGGATGCGTATGGGCTTTGCACCGTGTTCTCCTGGGTGCTCCAGCCCCCTGAAGGACTCACATGGAGTAACTCAGGGAGGACCAGCAGTGGGGAAGCAGAGGGCGACCGTCTGGTGGAAGGTGCGTGTGGACATTCGACACAGTGGGGCATGAGCTGTTTGACCCCCAGCGTCTTTCTTGGTCTCCCTCCTTATAAACGTGGCTTCACTGCTGACCTATGCTGACCTTGAGGGCAGCCTCCTGCCCTGGACCCTGGGTGTTATCTGAGAGTGTCACCTAACCAGGCTGCTGTGGCTTGAGGTCCCTGGACATATTCCTTTTGGGTACTTGCTACCAGGACCCTTTTCCTGTGGTGGTTCAGGTTTAAAACTCACACGGGATCCCACTGCCTGGATCCCATCCCTGGCTCCGTTACTCACTAGCTGCGTGGACATGGGCCAGTGACCTCAGCTCTCTGAGCCTCACGGCCCCATTTATAAAGTGCAGACAACAACACAAACACAGCCACTATGCCTTCTCTATTACATAATTCCCAAATGAAATCTCTCAGGACTGATTTTTCATCAGTCATCTCGCAGCACAGAGTGACCTGACCTGACCCTTTTTGATGTGGAAACCGCCCAGAACCGCCAGAAATAACACTGGCATCTCGAGTCTGCCCACGTTCCACGGCAGCGTCCCTGGCGAGGCTGGCCCTGGAGTACAGCCCCAGACCCTGCGGGGCACTATGTAAAATACCGCACTGGCCCCATGCCACCCTTCTATAAGCTGAAAGATGCTGAATTCCAAACCCCTTCTCTCTCTCCAAAGACTTTGCATAAGGCACTGTGGGCCGTGCATGTTGAGAAGGCTCTTTGTGAGGACCAGAGGGGAGACTTCTTGTCTAAACATTTAATGCCGTGTCTGGCACATAGTGACTGATCTAAAAATATTAAAGAACACTCATTGCTATGCTTATTTTTATGTGAACTGGTGCATATTCATCTTGTAGCTGGATCCTACCTTAGCAACTTAGGATCGGCAGCCCCACTCAACTGACTTTGGTCAGACACCAGACACCGCCTTTCTCAGGCGCTGAGTCTACGATGATAAGACTGTTGGTTCCAGAGGGGCTGGGGCTGTTCAGGTCCCCAGTGTAAGCTCAGTGCCCCTCACAAAACTGACACAGAAAGGTTTGCTCAGCAAAGGTTACTGAATGAATGCATGAATGAATGAACAGATGGCTGACTGAACAGATAGAATGTAACAGGCAGCAATCTCTTAAACGATGTAGTTAACAATGGTAAGTACATTCCTAAAACATGCACACGAAGCTTTGGATTCCATGTGATCACAGCAGAGGCCAAAGGCTGCTGGGCTGAGCTCCCTGGGGCTACCATGGGGGAGTGGATTATGGTAGCAATGGGAGTCTGTGCGTCATCAGTCACACGTCTGAAAAGGCAGGTCTCCGTGTAGATGTTGGCTCTGACTTCTCAAAGGTGAACGTATAGGCTGTGCTGGACATTCAGCGTCTCCATCTGGACATGTGTGCAACTCAGACGAGTACTTTATGGATGCCTGTAAGGCACAGACCACTAGTCCAAATTTATCACGGACTTAAACCAGAGAGTGTGGTTTTTGACATTCAGGGTGGCAAGAAGTTTGCAAAATTCCTCTAGTGATACAGGTATAACCTTATGCCTCATTACTGCTTAGTCATTGCAGTGGGCTGGAGATTTGAGGCTGGCTGGCCTGGATTTGTACCGTAAATATAAACAAATTGCTTGAATTCTATTTTACTCATGGGAAATCAAACTATAGCTAATATCAAGATCACTGGCGCATAAAGCGTATATCCATCAGGATCACATGAGGGGCTTATTAAGCCACCGTTGGCTGGACCCCACCCAGAGAGGTTCTCATTCTGTAGACTGAGGAAGGGCCTGAGAATCTGCATTTCCATTAAGATCCCAGGTGGTGCTGATGATGCTGGTCTAGGGACCCCACTTTGAGAACCAGTGATCCACATGTCAAATATTTGCACCAAGGTATAAGATGTTTAGGATACAGAGGTTTCTTCAGTGTGTCATTGCTGGCCAACAGCAGAAACATTACAGAGAATGTGCAGGAAGAGAAATGACTGGAATATATCAGAATATCAATGAGAAACGAGTTAAAAGGAAGCACGTACCTCCACACCTTTTCTCTTCTACGCTACTGGATCTTGCCACAGATACTTCTGGAAGAACAAAAGTCCAATCACAATGTATAAAGGGTGTTGGGAAAGAAGTTCGCATTAATGCATCACTTACAAAATGTCTAAATGGTTCTGAAATGTATGTGAGACAATGTTTCAGAAGCCTGATTAATTATTAAAAAAATTATATTAGTTTCTTTGTTTGTTTTAACCAAACTGAGATGGATTTGGCCACGTTGCCTTGGCTGAGAAAGAGAGGGATTCATTAGCACAGACAGAAAATGCCATGGTCCCTTGGGCTGCAAGCAGGGTATGCCTGATTTTCTGTGACTGTGTGTTGTGTCATGGCGGCGTGTTGTGTCCCCCAGATGTGGGCAGCCCCCAACAACACACACATGCACAGTGTCTGCCTGTGGTGTCCTGCCTCAGAGACCATTTTGTCAAAGCTAGTGTTGTCACATTCCCTGCAGGGTGGGGGGGGGAGTGGGGTGGCAATTCACCAGCGCTCAAGGGAAATCGCCCAAACAAATAAAGTCCCCATTCAGGAGCCCATAGTCATGCTCTTTGCAAGGCCACACATGAAATCCACCCCAAGATGCCGGAGAGGGCAGATCTCCTAAGGTTTTAACACCCAAGGATAAAATACCACTTTAGGTGTCTAGAGACATCATTCTCTCTTGCACTGATTTTTCATCTGATAAGAAGAATTAAAAATATGTCCATGGTAAAAAGGGAAACAGCAACAATGAGCAAAGCAGGTCAATACCATGCATGACTTAGATGCCTTATAAGGCTAAAGCTAATAATTTTCTCTCAGATATTATTATCTTTTCTGCAAATGGAGGAAAACTTGGCTCGTAGAATTGAAGCCTTTTGTTTCTTTGTAACAGGTTGGTCGTTGCAGTCCTAAGGCACCCGGTGGGCGTGTGCTAAATGGTTCATACACTGGCACAGCATCACGCAACAGTGAGCAAGCACCAGGTGACTAGCAGCTGCCACCAAGACCTAAGCACTGATCTCACGTTGAAAAGCCTGTGACGAGAGGGCCCACCGACCCCTTCTCCAAGATGAGAATAATGAATTGAATGCATTAAAGATTTCATAAAGAGTATGCCCCTTCTTTCTCTGTGCAAGTACACCACACAAGGTATTGCCAAAGCATTTAACCTAATATTAAAATAACCAAATAACCTACTTTCATTTTTTGAGCAAAATCTTCCAATTGTATTTTAGTAAATAAATTATAGAAGACGTCGTGTTTGAGAAACTTTAGGTTCATGAACTGCGTTCATGTCTAAATCTGTAGTTACCTATATATCTGCACTTTAGTCCCCCCTGAAACCAGATGAGTTGATAGAATCATCTCTGCTTCGCCAAATAGGGCCTCGAAGAGAAGAGAAAACTCAGACCTATAATCATTTTCTCTCTAAGTGTTGCAGATGATTTTGTTCACACTGAAAAATCTCTCTGCTCTTACCTGGGATGAAATTAGAGTCGAAAACACACGGCCGGCTCTCGGTGGTGTTGCCGGAGCACTGGCCGCCCACGGGGAACAGCAGGACACACTGGCGGCTGCGGGTCTGGGCGCCAGAGGCGTCACACTCGGACCAGTCCGACCACTCTGACCAGCTCTCTGCAGGGGCACAGTCACCACTGAGGTCAATCTCTCCGGCAGCACTGTCAAGTCCCGCACAGTATTTTAAGCTTTCGTGGTATGTCTTTAATGGCTGTGTGCGTGCATAAGACGTAGTCATATCTTCTAACTCGGCCAGTAAATAAGATAACCATGTGGATGAATGAAAGTATCTTTACCAATGTATCTTTGATCAGATATAATGTCATTAATATAAATTCTCTAAACCCCACGTTATCTTAATGGTATAGAATAATTGTACTTAGACATTCCACAAGTTAACACAGGACAGTCAGCTGTGTTTAGAACATGGGGAGTCGGGGAGCGGAAATCATCAACCCAGACCCCAGTTCCTACAGGGTAACGCTCCCCCTGCAAAGAGCAGCCCTCACACACTCTCCTGAAAAATCCCTGAAAATCTCCAGGCAAACGAAGTAACTGTGTGCTCATGAGAAAGGCCAGGTGGCTGCACGGTAGTCTTGGAGCTCCCATGAGTACTTTCTCTTCTGCTATGGAAACAATTGTGCAGAGTCAACATACGGAAGCCAGGCCACCCCTGCGGTGGAATTCCCTTCATCCGCTCATCTGTGGCTACAGTCCCTGAAGAGCTTAGGGCCAATGCACAAGTCTGGCGTCAAAGCCAGAGGTCAGAGCGCTGAAAGGACACACCCCCCTCCAGTGGAAGATTTGCTAGGATTTGCTTATTAGCTCACCCCGGAGTGCAGATGTGTGAAAAGAAAGGCGCAACAGTCACATTTAAGTAAGAAGTTTAACAAAGTGAACTCTCGCTATTGTCTATAAAATATTAACCAATGCATAAAAGATATTTTCACCTCGTGCTGATGAGAGAGTGTATGTTCAGTTAGTTTCTCCTTCTTAGGTTTAAGCAGGGGCAGGGAAAGTTTGGAAACCAAGCTTGTGCCTTGATCTAGGCAAATGGTACAAAGTTTTCTTAGAAATGTGTAAAGTGCTGGTTTTTGGAATTACTATGAGAATTTGGTTTCAAGGCACTTTTCAATATGAATGGACCTTTCTAAGAAAGATCTGCAGGAGCAAGCTTTAAAAAGTTTGTGTTTCAATGTGAAAGTTAGCCTCAGAAAAGAGTGGCTCATTTTCATTCCAGGTGGTCGCTACATGTCAGCAACCCAAGCTCCTCCATGGATGGGGACGGTAGCTCAGGCATCGCTGGGCACCTGTGTTGGCCGTGGACCCTGGAGCTCAGGGCTCCCGCACCCATGGGCCTGAGCCGGTCCCTGTGGGGTGCACTCTGCAAGGGCTCCCTGCTGCTCAGCCTGGCTGCAACAGTAAACTTTCCGATCCTGTCATCGGGTCATACACTTTGAAAGTATTTTGTTATAACCAGTCTCTGCTGCTTGCTTTGCTTTGATCCTCTGCTTCCTCACTTGAGATCCTGCCTTTTGCTTTCTCTATCTGCGCTACCCCTGTGTTATGGCCCATTGGCCTTGATGGAGGTCCTCTGAGAGTGCCTGGTGTCCCCTCGTAATATCTCAGAAGTCATTGCTGGAACACAAGCCAGGGGGGCTTCAAAGACATTTGGCCACAGCCAGGCAGGCAGTGAAACAAACGGACTGGGGGCGATTCTCCCACCCAGCCCCCCAGCCTTGGGGGGAGAGCTCTACAAACTCGCTTTCCTTTCCCATCTCATCCCTCTGACTTTTTCCAGCTCAGCAAGGTGCCGCCTGGGAGCCAGGCGCTAATTAGCAAGGTGAAGGCAAAATTGGGATATTTCCTAGTTAGAGAGTTTGTGTGTCACAATAAAACGTATACACTTCCCGATGTGATAAAGGCTTTGGACACTAGTTCTGAATCCACGGCATGGTGAGAACTATTTTATTGCAGAACGATGTGTTACGAAGTCACTTCAAGGGTAACAGTGTGACGCTGATTTCCTCCCACGCCCCTTTCAGCCCTTACCAGGATGTGGGATCATCAGATTCAGCATTTTATAAGTCGAGGAAGGAGGCCACTTTGTCCCAGAGTGGGGCCACAGGCCAGGCGCCACTTACCCGGGCAGGGCTGCGTGTTGCACAGCGCCTCTTCCGTGTGCAGCCCCAGGCAGATGTCCCCTCCGTAGGCTGGGGCCGGGTTCGTGCACGAGCGGGTCCTCATGTAGTGTCCACCGCCACATGTCGCTGAGCATTTGGACCAGGGGGACCAGCAAGACCACATGCCATCCACTGGGCAGGGACACAAAGTGAAAGTGCTTCTGAAATCCAAACCCAGCCAATCTGGCGCAGCTACATGACACCCGCATTCCAGTCACGCACTGAAGCAGCCACGGGGTGTGTGTGGGGGGCACGTCCCAGGTGACCATTGACCACTCCTGGTGATGGATCCAGTTTTGAAGGTTCCTCTCTACGTTTTTCAGTACCCCTATTCATTCTCTCAGAGAATATTTCTAAGCGTAAAATACCTAAGTGCGAGCACGACAAAAGAGGGCAACGTGTGCCATACAAAATCCCTGTCCTTGGGAAGGGCCACGGACCATGATGGGGTTGTTAATGTGAAGCCCCCGGCCGGTTCTCACCTTTGCTGTCTGCACCACCTGGTTGGCCAGACTCGACTTAAAGACAAGGAGAAGTAGCTGAAGCCACGGCCCTCCTTACTAATTGAACTGTGATTTGCTTTTTGACAGTGGGATAGAGAAAGCCTAACAGGTTCCGTGAGGAAGGTAACTGTGAAGGACGTTCAGCAAATTCTCGCACCGAATGGCCAAAATAAGTACCAACACACAGACCTGATGTTGCACTTAACTGACTAAAGAGGGGAATCAGGAAACCTGTAGCCAGACTTCAGGGGAAGTGTTAAGGGTGCAATTTTGCAACGTAAACCTGCAGCGGAACTGGTTCCTTGACCGAGCATTGCCATGACTGCTCATCACCCCAGCACATGTCTGCCTGCTCAAGTTTCCCTCCTGGATTCTGAGGCTGGGCTCCTGACACCTGCAGACTGACCTGCTGAATGCTGGAGTGTGCTGGCCCACTTGGGTCTGGCGGACCTCGGGGTTCAGTCCTGGGTTAGCTGACGCTGCTAAAACTGAGACCTCATCTTGTCTTGGGTTTGTGGCGATGTTATATGTGATCTGCTGTTTAGCTGACTCCTGACTGAGCCTCCCTCTTGCCAGCCAGTCCTACCTGCTGTTGTGCCACAGCAAAGCAGGAGGACTCTGTCAAACACATGGCATTAGACCCTAATAGGGGGCAGACCATGATCAGAACTATGGCTAACTCAACTACAAAGCTGATGAGAGACTGGCAATTGCTATATGTAGGTAGAATCATATTTTATTTTCTCTTTATCCTATGTAAATAAATAGAATCAGTGATGACAGGGGACGCCAAAATTACTTAGGGCACAAGATCATTTTAGCTAGAATAACTTAGATTGTATTTTAACATGCCCACTATGACAGCATACATCTTTACTGAATAATATTTGTCTTTAGATATTGGCACAGGTAAAAAGGTATTTTTGAGAAGCATGAGCAAGGACATCATCTTTATGACAATATCTTTATTTGAAAAAAGTAAAAGAGCAAACAAAAAGATTTGAACTCAACTTAAAAAAGAGTTTGAAACCTACCTGGAAATTTTGTGATTCAACAGTTTCCAGGCGTCCTCAAACTGAGAACACCACGGGGTTCTAACTGATTTATCTACACAACACACACCTGCCAGAATCCTCAGTTTTGATTAAGAGTATACCCCTTAGGTGTATACTCACCTAATGAGTATACACCTCATTAGGTGATCAGTGTTCCTTCTCTCTCAGACTTACTGTTTGCAGAATAACGAGAAAATGGAACCATCTTAGTTAAACCTGATGGAAAGACTTTATGTTTACTGCATTAGGTTTTATGGAGTCTAAGTATAAGTGAGGCTGATTTCATCTTAGTTGAATATTACTTAGCAACAAAGAACCATCTGCTGTCTGTACCTTTCCGGGTCAAGGTCTGGAGTCCTTGGAGCTGAATCAAACATACACTGGGGGAAAGGAGTGATGGAGAAAAGATTAGCTATTCTTCAATGCTAGAGGCAAATTATGTAGGTGAAGTGACCAGCTAGATAAATTCACAGGTGAAAAAAATGATCATTTTAGCATGGGCTCGACTTTAAACCATATTATAGCTTATCATAGAGCTATTATTAGAGATTGGAGATCAAATTTTTCATTACTTGATTTTAAAGGTATTTTACATTCCTTTAGTTTGTTTAGATTTTCATATTTAATCGAAATACGAAAATATACTTTTAAATAAATACACTGCCCACTTGTCATTGTCCACTATGAACCCAAGAGAGTTAAAGAAGAGTAAATTCATAGAGAAGAGAGGTCCGAAGGGAGGTTAAGAGTAGCCTCTGACTGGCTTCCTGATGGCCGTGCAGCTCAGTATCCAGGCCCTGGAAAACTCCCAACTCTCCTTGTTGAGTTGCATTCTGTCATATGTTTAGGAATTTTCTAAGAGGTGGGAAAGAAGGTTGACGTTTGCACCACTCATCCCCGAACTCACCCGCTGCCTAGTGGAAAGTGACAAGGGCCACTCTGAGTCATTCCACAGCACTCTATGGAATTCTGGCCTTGAAAATGCAAATGAGGACAGAGCTATTCAAAATACTAAGGCTATGTAGACATGGCATTGGCTTGCCTGCTAAATCTACTAAAATAAAAACAGCCAACGGATCACGTTAATGGATTGCCTCAGAGATGGCCGGGGATGCTTTGCACTCAGGCGGCGGGACAGTGTCCAAGCGTCTGGAGGAATCTGCGTGTTTTACTGATGGCAACGAGGAATGGAGTCTGGAGGCTGGGGAGGTGAGGGGGTGGAGGCACCCTGACATTCCCATGGTGCCCGCCCTCATTCCAGCACGGACCCATATCTGATGATGTCACCTACGGGCTCGCTCCCAGCCCCCCCAGGGAAGGGAGGCTTCCCTTGGGGTTTTGGGAAAAAATTGGTTTTTTGCCTTTTCCCGGCCTTCGGCTTGGGTTTGGTTGGGAAGGTTGGTTGGTTGGGGGGGGGTTCCTGAGGCTGGAGAAATTCAGGCAGAGATACCCTGGGAGGAGCTGTGCAGCTGTAGGAGCAGGAGCATTATTGGGCGCCTCAGCTACAGAGCTGGGAACTTTGTGTTTTCAGTTTTATATACATGTTTGTGCGTCCATGCATCCATCTGTCCATCTACCCATCTAGCAAATGCTCATTGAGCACCTGCTACAAGCCAGTTTCTTGTTCAAGACACTTAGGAAGTTGTTTGTATCTACTGGAAATGCTAAGATCCGATGCCTTCCGAAATCTTATATCCAGTGTTTGGAATGACCCCTCTTTGTCATCTCTGCTTGTCAGTTTGGCCAACTCCTATCTGTCCTCAAAGATTCAGCTCAAGGGCAGCCTGCTTGGTGCAGCTGCCTGGATTCCCAAGGGCTGTCTCAGTGGGCCTTTGGCTCAGTGGGTCATTAGTCCAGTTGCCATTGCATCTTGTCACCAACCCAGTAGTGGGTGACCATGTTGGTTTGACATTATTCACAAGAGGCCGCTTCGTTGAACTCTAAGTTCCTTTCTGACCTGGACAACATCATTTAGTCTTTGCATAGCCTGTGAATAGCACGCAGTGGGTTATCCAACAAAGTTTGCTGAGAGATGGGATGAAGGAAGGTTCATTAACCAACTTTTTGTTTCCTCATCATTCAACAATTACCAATGGGCAATTCCACCTGTGGGAGGCTCATGCTGGGGGCTGAGGTCACTGCAGTGAGTGACACTATCATGGGAGTCTCTTTCTCTCAGACAAAAGGCGATACCTATAATAACTGCCCAGGACTCAGGATGGCCGTGACATGTGGACTAAAGACCCTGCGACTGCTCTGGGCAGGGAAGCAGGAAGTGCGAAGATGAAAGAGAAAGCTACTAAGGTTGCGGGGCCTCACCCTGAGCTGAGGCAGGGAGAAAACTGAGACAGGTGCTAGAGGGCTAAAGTGAAAGGTAGAGGAGCCTTAGGGCAGTGTCAGAGCACAAAACCCAGGGTGGGGGCGCTTGTTTAGCTCACTGTAACAACCCCACGTTTGCTTGGAAATGCAGCGGAATGAAAAGCAAGGCCTCGGGAGGAAGATGCAGACAAAGAGCTCCGTCAGGCCTGTGGGGGAGAAGAGCTGGTGTCATTGGACCACTGACTGCACAAGGTGGACCCTCATGGCAGAAGACAGAGTGTGACTGAGGACTGGCCCTGAGGGACCAGCTTTGATACTCGTGACCCTAGATGAGGACATTCCATCAGTGCCCTGGGAAGGGTCAGCCTGCAGAAGGAGCTGCTGGCTCACTTCAGGGGCGCCAGACACTTCCATCCCACGGCTGAGGGGCTGGCTTCTCCATCAGCTCAGCACCTGGAGTCTACATCCTTAGAGTAGCTCAGGGGAATGTTTTAATTTCCTTTAAAACCTGAAGAAAAAAAGTGAATGCAATCCAGGCTAGATTACATCTGTCTTTACACCAATGCACTATGGAGGGAACAGCCCCTGAAGAAAAATATGCCTGGGGACCACGGAAGGCACACTCAGCCCTGCCTGTCCCACTGTTCTATGTAGAACTGCAGCTGCACACTCGCCTGTAAAGAGGGCAGAATGTAGAGTTTTGATACTCATTGAAATGATTTGGGATTTAGCTGCAAGTCAGCTGGAGAGGGTGGGTTAGGAATTGAGAACCCTTCCATTATTCCTTTTTTATTTCTCTCTCTCACTAGGGGTTGATCCAACAGGTGATGATGTCACCTAAGACATTTATCAAGAACACAGATCCCAAACACAAAGGGATCTGAGTGAACCTCAGTAACATAGTAATAGAAGGTCTTCCGAGGCCCCTGATTTTTCAGATCTTTTCCAGATTATGCAGTCCACTTACCTGGGCATGGCAAAATGTTACACTCCTGGTACTCCAGGGACGGGCCCAAGCAAGGCATGCCCCCGTACTTGGGCTCGGGGTTGTTGCAAACACGCTTCCGGTTCCGAATGCCCCTGCTGCAGTCGCGGCTGCACTGAGACCAGGACGTCCAGGCTGACCACGCCCCGTTGACGGTGTGGGCAGAGTACCGCCCGGCACGCAGGAAATCCCCGGACAGCCCTGACAAGGAAACGGCTACAGTGTGAATCTGCTAGGAGTTCTCAGAGTAACCCCAGCCCGTGCCAACTTCCATTCTGTATCAGCTGCCAACTTCATATCTACAACCACCCTCTCAAACTCAGTGGAACTCTTGTCATGCTTCAAAGTTGAAGTCAATAAAGAATGTCTATGTGCAGCTAAGCATCATTTTGGGTGGTCAGAGGAAAATGAATCCAATTTTGTGCTTGCAAGTTATCAATACCAAAACATGAGATGGCCTTTGGAACTCAAAGGCATTAAGACACAAGAAGGAAAAAGTTCTTTGAAGCCATGTCCCTGATATACTTTTGCAGAAACATAAAATATCTTTTATAAATCTGTGTTAAACTTTTCCTAATTTCATATTATTAACATTTTAACAAATATTAGCTTGGGTTGTATAGGTATCTAAGGATGGAAGAAATAAAATATACAAGTTCAGAAAGGAAACTAGCACCAGCGTTGGTGGTATAGTGGTGAGCATAGCTGCCTTCCAGAAAGGAAACTAAAGTTAATATATAGAGGAATACCATCATTCATTGCAGTGGAGTGATAACCTCCTATAACTCAAGCTGTTTTCCTGCAGTTGCTATTAAATAAGGTGCAAATAAGAACTCCATCTGTGAATGTGGAAAGGTCCTTATATAGTGACTAGGTTTCATATTTGTAATTCGTTAATTTTTTTGAATTGACTTCTTCACTTCTCTTTCACTTCACTTTCTCACTTCTCTTGAGAATTCTATGACAAACTGTCCTCATACATAATGGGGTGGTGATCGCCCTGGAGGACACCATCTGGAGAAATGGAAACATGATTCAGACATTTTCTAAACCTGTTCCTTTGCCTATTAACCTTTCAGAAGTGAATTAATGCTGGTGAAAGGTGCCAAGTCAATAGCTCCTGAATCACAGACCATGGAAACACCTGTCTGCTCCAGAGAACTCATGCCCTGAAACCCAACACATCCCTGAGTGGCCTTGGCAAATGTCAAAAGCTCCTGTGAAGTTCAGAGCACACTTACTAACAAAATATGTTTCCCCAGGAACCTACGGAGGCAGCAGCAGCAGCAGCAGCAGCAGTTGGGGTATTGGGGGAGGGAGGAGGGTTGTCTTAGCAGGAATCACAGCTCAGTCTTTGAAGGTTGTGTTATGTGTGAGGTCTATTCTGAGTACTTTAATTTGTTAAGTTATTTAATTAGCCACAGTCAAAATTTTTGTTTTGATGAAAATGCCTACTCACAATATTTAGAAATATTCAACAATTTTCACAAATGTAGGCAATGTGACACGTTTTTAACAAATAACACTCAAAGTATGCAATGGAACTCTAGGGAAGTGTGGTCATGAGAAGAAAAATATGCCAACATCTCTATGTATTGTTAAGCAACTTTGTTGTTTACTTAGAAACTCTGTTTCTAAAACGGAGGCAGGATACTATTCAAAGAAATTAAAGTTGAAGTGTCTTTCTGTGATGAACCAGTATTTTCTGGGTTAATCAATAAAGAACATCTATGTACAATTAAGCCTCATTTTGTGTGGTCAGAGGAAAATGAGTCCAATTTTGTGCTTGCAAGTTATCAACAACAAAACATGAGATGGCCTTTGGAACTCAAAGGCATTAAGCCATAGGAAGGATAAAGTTCTTTGAAGCCATGTCCATGATATACTTTTGTAAAAAATATAAAATATCTTTTATAAATCTGTGTTAAATTTTTCATAGGTTCATATTATGAACATTTTAACTAATATTAGCTTTGGTTTTAAATGTATCTAAGGATCAAAAGAATAAAATATAGAAGCTCAGAAAGAAGACTAAAGTTAATATAGAGAGAAATACCATCATTCATTTTCTCCTTTTTACTTTGATGTCATAAGAATAAGATAGTTCATAGCCCATTTTGAAATAAGGGAATAAATGAATTGGAGATTAAACAAATAAAATACAGAAAGCTTCGTTAAATATAAATTTCAGATTAAAAAAATAACTATTTTAGGATAAGTATACTTGAAAAATTGCACAGGACATAGTTTAAAAAGTTATATGGGACATACATATCTTTAAAAAGATTCGTGGGATATACTTATACCAAAAGAAAATTTCTGACAGATATCTGAAATTCATATTTAAATTCTTATATTTTATCTCACTACCCTCATCAGAGATCACAAGGCCATCCCTTATGGAATGTAGATCTTTAAACTGGGTCTTCAGTTATCTTTCTCTTGGTATTTCATCACATATATTTTCTCTTAACTACAGAAATATTTTACAAAATTAATCAGTGTGACTATCATCTTGTTAAATTTTTGAGGTGGGTGGTGTTTAAGTTGTTTATTTAAGTTTAAGTTTAAGGTGTTTAAGTTTATTTAAGTAGTACATTTGTTCACATAAAACCCTTCAGGAAAGCAGACTCTAATTTTTTCAAGCAACTATCAGCTTGTACAACCACCAAACAAGGGAAGAGGTAACGTGAGCGGGACAGCATGGGTAGGAAGTGCACTTTAAGGCAAGCGGCTCCTAACTGCCGCTGTCAGGGCTCCGGGCACCCACGCTGTTCACCAACTCCCAGGAGGAGTCACGGGATCTGGCACAGGAGAGCAGCCGGTGGCCATCACTCAGAGCCACGCTGTGGCAGAGCCTTCCTCGTGGCGACACAGAGATTTACCAAACCTCCATGAATTTATCCTACCAGGTTGGTCCAGTGTGGCAACTCACCAGCCCTGTGGCTTTTGTCAAGGCCAACCATTCTGGGTCTAAGACCCCCTCTCTGAAAATGACTTGCATTGTGCGGCCCTTTAAGTAGATATCACATTCATGTTGGGAGAATAAAGTAGAATTGCACACACAAAGGTGCTAAGGAGTGTCTGATAATGGTCTAGTCGTGCAAGATAAAATGGTGCTAAGGAGTGTCTGATAATGGTCTAGTCGTGCAAGATAAAATGATTGCTGTTCTCATCAAAAGTAGCTCTGAGAACCCATCTGTGAGAATCTATGCCCTTTTCAAAACTGGAAGAGATTTTGTCCGATTAGGCGAGAGTGAAAAAAGAGACGAAGAACAAAGCAAAGCATGAAGCACTTGGGGACCACTGGGTTCAACTTCTTTTCCTGCAGCTCATACAGCTGGGCTCCAGGGAGAGCAAGTGACTCGCCCAAGGTGAGATGGATGACATTTGGTGTCAGGGCAGACAGAGGGCAGACCTGGTTACTACCTCAGGGCTTTCTCCACGAGATTGACAGGGCATTCATGGTATTTACACAATTAGGAGGGGCAATGTAACTTCAAAGATTATTATAGTATTCTCTGTGCTTTTTAACAGAAAGATCCTTTTGTAGGTATTAGGAAAGAAATGCACTTTCATTGCCTTTGTCTAATTTAGGGATAAAGAAAGAAAAGTTTATCCTCAGCTTATATTTTAGTACATTTCAACTTATATTTTAATGTCGGAAGATCTATGGATGATCACTGATCCTTCCTTAGCATATTTTCTGATACTAACTAAATCTCATACAAACTATTCCAGATCCATCATAAATAGATCCAGAATAGTTTGGGGGCTGAATTCACAGGACCACCTCCATATACTATTAAATATCATATAAATAAATTCTTACAGTGAAGGTCTTTTCCTTCCATTTACTATGAAATCAGTTCTGCTCTACAGGGATAATTTTTATAGAGCCTGCTAAGTTACAAATAATAAAAAAAAGAAACAATTTCCCCTTGCTCTTTATGGCCTTAGAGATAAGTTCAAAGACCTTTCCTCAGAAGTGGGTCAGTCCGTGTGGAATCCTTTCTCACCATCTGTGGAGCAGCCGCTGGTTCCATCACTAGAACAGTATCGCATTTCGATTCTCTGTCTCCCCACTTCCAGCAAATTCGGATCAGGCAGGCGGGCTTTGCATGTGTATCGGAATCGCTGCTCGTAGTGGCCACCGTTGTCAGAGATGTTGACGGGAGTCCAGGGTGTCCAGGGTGTGGTCTTCTTCAGCTCAGGGCACGGGTTCGTGTTGCAAGGCTGGTACTCCTGGGAGAGGAAACACGTGGAGTGTCTTACTGTGCACCACACATAGGGCAAGATCACAAGGGGCTCCTTCCCTTTAGGAAAAGGTAAGGGTCTCCAAAACGTCAGACCCTAAGACACACAACAGACACTCTACAAAATTAAAAACACATACACGTTAAATTATGCATTTAATAGGGTGCTCAGTATTCAAGTCATCTCCAAAAGGAATCTGCACAGTTTCCCCTGTGTAAACAATGAGAATGAGACAATAAACTTAATTGTATGTGAAAAAAAATGGTGCTCCCATAAAAATCATCTTCCTTTCACTTAATCAGTAACCCAAAATGCTGATTATTCTGACGTTAAGTTTAGCTGGTTTTTTTAAAAGATGAATTGTTAGACCACATGATATTTAGTTTAAGATTAACGGAGATTGTAAACCCTGGGATCAGAGACTCAGAAGTGCTAGAATGATAGGGTAGCCACAGATATCATGTGACACTTTTTAGTCTATAAGATGTTTTCCCATCATTTCCACGGTTACCACCTCAAGGCATTTCTCAGCCTCTCCCTTCCCCGACTCCCAGGGCCCCCCCTTGTGACCACAGGAGGACGGGGCCTGGGTTGCTGAGCATGGAGTAGGTTTGGAGGTCTGGCTAGTGGGGCATGCTGTGTGTTGGGATGGGGGGTGCAATTTAGGACTTAGATGATGAAAATCTGCCTGGAGCATTTACTGATTTATTTAGCAAAAATTCTGAGTACTGTAGCTCCAGAAACACAGCCCAAAATAAGCGATACGGCAGTTGCCCTTGGGGGCAGTACTACATCACAATTCCTCTATTTAACAGTAAAGATGTTTCACTAAAGGGAAAATCCACAACACACAACACACCTAGTTATGGCCATACTTTTATAGTGTTACAAAATATGAATTGTCAGTCTTCAAGCTTTATTACAAAATAAGAGAACTTCTCTACCCTTTCTTGATCTATTTCAGTTGTGTGTTTTGATACCTATGTCCATAGAGCTAACAACAGGAATTTTCCAGTATTATGCATTGCCCGTTAACTGCGCATTATGGAAAAAGAATTTCACTCTTTACTCTCTCCCCCATGCTCTGTGTCTACCTCATTATCATAGCCTTCCTGTCTCCCAACTTCTTCAAATAATGATGTTATAATTCCGGTTTGATCAAAATCGAGCATCAGCATTTATCACTAGGCTTACCTAGTGTAGGTACGCTGTCCTTACTGGAGTGATGGGGTGAAGCCTGATTGATTTGTTTCTTGCCCAGGTCCCTTCCAGTCTGAATCAATGGTCCAACCATTTTGGGGGGTGGGAGGTGGCTGTTTAGTTTCTATAAAGTAGTAATTAATTCACTACCCATCAGGAATCCAGACATAGCAGGAACTGCACAAATTGTAAATCCTTAAAGAAATCCCTCCAGGGATTTTCTGACCTATGCCAACCTGGCGTGGCTGCCCTCTATGCTTGGTGAAGAACACTTGTCCTGGATGGCTTTGCGTCCCTAGGCTAGAGTTCCTTTCCTTCTTCCCTAGGTTCAGTCTTTTGTTTCCTATATTACAAGTCTTCACCTTCTTGGTCAACCTTCCTCTTGCTGGAGTACATCCTGCAGTGTCCTTCTACATAAGGACATTGCAAGGTAAATATGTGACACTTTCTTATTATCATACAACATCTTATGCTACCATCAAACTTGATTAAAAGTCCAGTAGAAATTTTATTCTGGGAATAATTTTGCTTCAGAATTGAATATAATGCTTCATGTATTCTATCTTCCAGTGTTGCTGTTGAGAAATACTAAGGTAGTTTGGTTTATTCTTTACATGTGACTTTTAAAAAAAAGATCTCTCCGCAACTTCTATAATTTTCTCTTTTTTCCCAGGGTTACGAAATAGTATGATTACATATGTAAGTTTGGGTCATTTTGACAAACCACTTAAACCTATAAGTTCAGGTGTTTTTTATTTAAGAAATCATCTTGATTGTTTTATTGATTATTTCTTCTCCATTCCCCCTGCCCTTTTTTTTCTTGCAACTCCATTAACCATCTTTAAATTTCTTATCTTTTATCTCATATTTTTCCATCTCTACATTTGTTTCTCTACTTTGTGGGAGACATTCTCAACCTTATCTTACAAATACATTATTGGAATTTTCATATCTGCTATCACTTTAAATTCCCTAAAGCCCTTTTGTGTCTTTCTAGGTTCTTGTCTGTTTCTTGTTGTTATATGCAATTCTTATTTTACTGGTCTCATTACTTTCTCTGATTTGAGTATATTGACGATAATTACTTTAAAGTTTTATTCTCTCTTCGTAGCTTCTGTATCTTCTAGGCTGCTAGTTTTACTTTGGTTCCTTGGATCTCTTTCATGGTAGATTACTTTTTATGGTATCTGGATATTTTTTGGTTTTCTGCTCATATTCAGAGTTGGGGGTAGTTAAAAGTTTAACTGGAAGATCTGAGCATAGAGGAGAAGTTTATAGACTGTGGCAGGACCTGTTGGCTTCTTTAGATGAAAAATGTTGTCAGAACCTTAACCTTTTCCTGCTGGGCTCTGCGGAGACCTTTGAGAAGAGTGTTGCAGTGCCCTGCCCTGTCTGGACGGCAGAGGCTGAGGCACCAGAGATCTAAAAGCCAAGTAGAGGGAGAAGGCTGGCTTCTCGGTAACTGGTAGACAGTCCTCTGTCACTCTACCATTTTTATTATAGTGCTGAAGCACGTGCTCAACTCAGCCCCGTGCATGGAGGGAGGTCCAGAGATTCTATTTCTCTCTTCAGAGAATAAGTTCCTGGTATTTGCTAGATAGAGAAGCTCCAGGCTCCTCGATGAAGTAGGAGAGGTGTCTGGAAGTCTGACACCCTCTTAAAACAGAAACCACCTAAATGTTATTTTGCCACTAACAGGGAGAGTGAGGCTGCTGATCCCTGAGATTTCTGAGGAGTCTGTGGTGTGAATTGAGATGATTCTTATCACTCATGTGCTGGGGGTCTCCAAGACCATTTCTAGTTTCTATGATTAGATAGAAGCGTTCAAAGGACCCTGTAAATGCTGGTACTCTTGCCTATAATTTGTTACAGTGAAACAATACAAAGTAAAATCAGCAAAGGAAAAAAGGTACCCGGGGAAAAGTCCAGAAAAAAACAGACACAATCAAGAGTCTTCTCCTGGTGGAATCACACAGGAAGTGCGTAATTCCCCAAGCAACTAGTTGTGACAACACAGGGGAAATGCTGCCCACCTGGGAGGCCCCCTGGAGACTCAGTGCTCAGGGTTTTTGCAGGGGGCTGGTCATGTAGGCACCACGGCTTCACATGCACCGAAATTCCAGATTCCTCGAAGGAAGGTGGTGGTGTGTATGCACCACACGGTTTGTGCAAACAGTTTAGGCACAGCATGCCACTCTTGTCACTCTGGGAATGGTGTAAACCTTCCTGAAACCCAAATTCCCAGGTGCCAGCCAAGAGCCACCTTGCAAGCAGGCCTGGCAGCAGCTACGTGGACTCTTCTGTGTGTTCCCCTCTGTTAGGCTCAAATTCATTCTTCTTGGATGCATTTCCAGATTCCACTTTAAAAAAAATGGTTCTTTCTAACTCCCATTTTCTGTCTTCGTGAGTTCATGCCTTGAAAGAACAATCCTCCGAATATTATATGAGTTTTCCAGCAGGATGGAAAATAGCTGTGTGTGTCCACACCGCTAGCTTTACCAGAAAGCCTAATGCAATCCTCGTTTTGTCACTGTTCTAATTATCACAGCAAGGTTTCATTACTCATAATGCTTCTTTTTAAATCTTTTATGGTGGACAATGCTCAGGAGTTCTTCTTCATGTTTGTGACATCATAGGCTTTTAACAGAAAATGTGTAAAGTGATCATTGCTGCTTCTTTGATTTAATACCCTCCAGCCTTCCTCCCAGCCCACACCATCTCCACATCAACGAATACTAGAAAGATCGATGACTTCATTTTCCTTTGTTTATAGCATCTTTTATTACAGCATCTTTTGAATGCTGCTTCCTGATTTGAAAAGCCCCAATGAATGCCATAAACCCAGTCAAGGCACAACATGTGTGTGCTCTCTTTTTCATGTGGACTGGATGTATTTGAAAGCTGGATCACGTGTCTGCATTGGCACCTCGTGTGTTGGTCCTGGGGGGACGGGACATCACATGTCCCAGAGGTAGCACAGCTCACTGCTGAGGAAGATCAATTCAGGCTTATTAGATCTGAGCCTCCACCAGCAAAGTCTGTTCTTGTATTCTTAGTTCCTCATAGTTCAAAGTTTAACATGAGACCGAGGACTTCTTTTTTCAACTGCTTTTTGAGGTCTGATAATGGTGCATTCACTTGAAGTATCAAATTGTTAAGTGATGAGAAAGGGTATGGCCAATGTGTTTTACATTAATGACCCAAACTATGAAATGACTCAATTCCACTGTGATCACTTACATGGCTGAACCTGTTTCCTACGATGTATGGGAGAACTGCTGCTATCACTGTCCAAATTTGAATGGAACTTGAACAACATTGCATTAAATACTACAGAAAAAAAAGTGATTTAAAAGAAGACTTCAGGGAGCTAATTCCTACTATTTGCCACATAGGGATTTTAATATCTGGAGGAAAATATTAGATAAGAATGGGTACTAAAACAATTTTAAACAATTCCTCCAAACAGGTTGCCCATGTATTATGTATCTCAGTCAGCAGTGATAAAACCATCTATTTGAAAGTTTAACCCAGAAGTTGGGAGACACGCTGCTGGTTGTCCCTTACTTGTGTGTCAAGTCCTACAGATGTGGCCTCTTGTGTCCATTCTCTCCGCCCCCACCTAATGGCCACTCTTCCAATTCAGGTCACCATCACCGCAGGTCTGCAGAACCAAACATGCACTTCACTGAAGCTTAATTGCCTATTTGTAATTTGACTGCAAGTTTGTCAGAACAAGAACTTTGCCATATTTATTTTATATTAGCAAACTTGAGCACAGAAACACT